TGGGAAAAGGCAATGATAGGATTTGGCAACTGAATGCAGACTCCTAAGATAAAAAGTCAAAGATAAATGTAAATCAGAGCTGGGGTTACTGGTGAGTGTGTGGTGATTTTATTATAGAGGAAAGTGAGGAGGAACAGCTGGTTTGGGGTAGAAGATTTGTTTTAAACATGTTGACTTGAAGGTGCTAATATTACAAACAGATGATGTCACAGGCAGTTCAAATGCCCCAAAGCCAGACTGAGGGCTGAGAAGAGCCAGCTCCCAGCCAGATGAAACAGATTCAGGAGCCAATTGATGGCTTGCTCATTTTCATATCACCTGCCTTCTTTTCTTCTTGACCTGCTCCACCCTCCTCCCCCAAGATAGTGACTATTACACGATTCAGTAGAATTTTCTCTTCTTTCATGTAAAGAAGATGTAAGCTGTGGAAGAAACACTCACTTAAGCAAATGAATATTGATGAAAGAAATGCAGGTTCCGTCTAGGAAAAGTAATAGTGGTCAAAGAAGTGGACTGGGTGGTTCAGTGTTATGGAAGCAGAGCAAGGGGAGAGTTGCACAGAGAAAGGCAGATCTGAACTGTGCTAGGAGGTGAAGAAGGGTGGCGATTACACAGGGAGCATCTCAGCTGGGATCTGAAGAGTGTGCTTACATAAAAAGCAGGAAGTAGTTATTGCCAAGGGTGGAGGCGGGGTGAGGGAAATGGGGAGTTGTTCAATGGGTATAAAATAGCAGTTATGCAAGATGAAAAAGCCCTTTAACGTCTATTGTACAACATTGTGCTTACAGTTGACAATGCTGTACTATACATTTAATTGTTAAGAGGGTAGATCTCGTTATGTGTTTTGTATCATAAATTTTAGAAAAGAGAAAAAAAGAAAACAAGTCCTTGATATTTTTCTGGAGACTGTAATGTGACCAGATATTGAGACAAGGATTCTTGGAACTGGCGGACTTCTTTTTTTTTTTTTTTTTTTTCCTGAATTTCCCCTATCTGGCTTCACTTTTAATTTGGTTGAGAGTATGTCAGTAATATATTAAAATGCCTGGTTATGGAATTGAATAGATGTGACCATCAAAGCAGTAACTGCAGAGCAGTCATTTAACATTTCAAAAAGGCATTAAAATGTTTGAAGATGTGATTTTAAAAAAAAAAATGAGTCTAGAGAAGCACTAACTGGTAGAACCTTCTGCAATGGCAGGCGGAAATGTTTGCACTGGCCTGTTCTGTAGCCACGGCCGCAGGTGGCTGTTGAGCATTTAAAATGTGACTCATATGATTGAGGAACTGCATTTTTAACTATTTAATTTTAATTCATTTAAATTTAGTCACATGTAGCTAATGGCTACCATACAGAGTACCACAGGTCTAGAGACTTGAGAAAAGTTAATCAGGTATGAATGAATAAGAAACTCAGTCCTGAACATTTTGGATTTGAAATAAAACATGAGGAAAAGTATAACAATATATTATAGGAGTCCAGAACTCCAGTTTATGGTTTTAAAGTGAAACTTTGGATATGATGTGATCCTATTTCTTTTATATTTGATCTTATCAACCAACTTTAAAAACATACAGAGAGAGAAAATAGGTAGAGAAAAAAACTTCCAGTAAAATGAGTTTACAGTAGAATTTATGAGCTGCCTTGATCATTTTTAGAATTTTGTTTTTCACCTTCATATAAATAAACAAAGCAGCCAGCTGAGACAATAGTAGAGTCCTCACCAGAAAAAGTTTTCCTTATACAGAAGCAGGAAGTAGGCTGATCATTTCAGTAGTAATGCTATTTTAAAAATACAACTGATAAAGAATACACGATGGTAAACCTTAAAGTTTTGTAAGTTTTTCCTTCTCTTCAGTGAACAACTCCCTTAGGTCAGGCCACATTGTCTCTCATCTGGTGTAATAACTTTCAAGCAGGGTTTTTGTTTGTTTGTTTTACTTTGTTTTTATCTCAGGTCCAGGGGCTTCATCACCCCAGAATCGTGTTATTGCAAACACAGATCTGCTTAAGAAATTTTACTTCAGATAAGTACATAATAAAAAGTTTCAAACACATTTTTCTATTTTTCAGTTTTGAAATTAACAGATTAAGTGGATATTTTCTCAACTGATGAAAATAAAATTGGTAAAAAAATTTGTTAGCATATTGGCAACAAGAGCTTTAAAGATATTTATGACCTAAACCCCAGTAAGTTCTTATTTAGGAATCTTCCTAAAGAAACGATCTTAACTACCACAAAATATACCCCAAAATCTCTTTGTTATGAAGATACTCAGCATAACATTATTTATAATAGTGAAAACTGTACATAACTTTAATGTTCAACAATAGGGAAATAATGAAGTAAATTGTAATTGCTAAAATGATGTCTTCCCACATTGCTTTGTTTATGCATCTACTATGGAATATATCATATGCTGTATATTAGTTGTATGCAGTTCTGCCAATCTAATGCTTCTTTGTGTTGCCACTGTGCCTAGCACAGTGTAAATACTCAATGAATGTTTGCTGAATAAATGAACAAATGAATATTGACACAAATGAAATTGAGTTTCAGTTGCTTATCAGTTGGTTAAAACTAAGAGATGTTATATTTTTTAAGTGCAATAGTATATAGTTCCATTTGTAATGAAAATGTATTTCATATTTAAACATCTATTTCAGAAAATAATTTTGTAAGCAAAATAACGTTTAAAGGTAAATTCAGTTGATAAATGTATCAAATAGTGATTTTTATAAACAAATCACATTATTAATAAAGCATTCTGTCTCCAGAGTCCCTTTGTATACTTTTAATTCATTTTTCTCTCCCTATATTTTCTCTGGATTTTGTGTATTTTTATAAATATAATTAAAAACCTCCACTTAGCTCCCTGTTGACATTTTTCTCCTCAAACCTATGATTTGTCCTCACAGTCAGTTTCTCTGACTGCTTTGTTCATTTGAAATGATCATTCGTAAAGGAAATTGCTTTTCGCGTGCTAGTGCATTAGGCTATTTTGTATAGAGTATTTGAAATTTTACTTTCTGTAATTTACAGAGGCTAGCAAAGGGAAGAAATCTGTTATTTTTATTTTTCTGGGTAAATCTAGATACAGTTGACGTAGGCAAGAAATACTAATATTAGAAATTCTAAATTCTTTTTACATGGAGCCCTCTAGTGTACTCGACCAGTAAATCGAGATACAGTTGACATCACTTTATAAATAAAACCTAGATAGATGCCTACTTCCTGCCGAAACTTTATCAGTTTAAGATTATCATTATTTAATATATTTATTTTGATAGAAACCTGAAAATTGATGATGATCGTGTGCCAAGCTCATGAGGGCAGGGATCAAATCTGTTTAGCTTGCCCTGTAGCCTCGGTATCTATTAGAGTATCTGATTAAACTCTCAGAAAAATCGTTGATGCCTGACTGCCTACTTTTGCCAGTTTGTTTTGTGACTGCTTCCTAATAAAGTAAAGGAATTAAAGTAACTATTTTATGTTTGGTAGGCCCTTTGATTATAAGGACAAAAAAGGACTCAGATTACCTTATGGAGAGAGAAAGAAGAGGGAGGAAGGGAAGAAGGGAGAATGGAGAGAGAAGAGAGAGCTTTATTTCTCTAGTGAATCCATAGAAACTCTAGTGGTTTTCCCTTAGAAGCTGCCTGCTGGGATGCTTCTTTTTTTTCTCCTTGCCTCTGCTTCTGAGTGCTATTTTATTTCGCTTCTCTCTATCAGGTTACATAACTTTCATATAACTTTAGTACTCTAAAGTTACTTCTAGTACTCTAGAATCTTACAGCTCTAGCTAATTATCCTCAGTTCTATTTGGGCACAACTTTTTCATCAAGGCACCCATGGGCTGCAGATCAGTTTGTATGTTTATTGGTCTAGTCAGCTGTGGTCAGGAGATAAGGTCATGTAAAATAGATACTGCCATCCTCAAATAAGGAACCACCTGGAGCTACTTCCTCAGTTTAGAAGCTTTTAAAGGAGGGCTTGGTGGCACCTAAAACTTTAAATACACTCTTTTCCAGTAGACATTTGTTCCATGTTCTCTGATTTCCCACTCGTTCTTTATCATCTTTATAAACCATGACATAGCCCCTATTTTTAGGTTATGGTTTTGGGGGGCTTCTTTTCAGAACTTTAGGATATTACTTTTATTGTAAAAAATTAAGTGGCTACTTCTACCTCTCCTGGCTGAGAAAGACTTGAAAGCTTGAGAGCCTGCCTCTGACTATTACTGCTCCTCAACATGCCTACTGAGATGAAAGTTATTTCCCGATTGAAATTTTTGTGGCTTATAGATAATCACACTTAAATGGGGACACCAAAATGGTTTTCAATTAAAAACAATTTAACAAAGAGATTAAAAACTTTAAAAAATCTGACACATACCATTGGCAATCTACCAGTTAATACTAAATATGATGGCCAGTGGAATGATAAGCATTGTTGTATTCTCCCAGTTCTTAGATTAAGTTAACCTCTACTCCAAGTTTCATGTTTTTCTTACTTAAAACTTCAAAACTTTATATTAGATATGATTTTCCTACTTTATTCAGGTAAAAAAAAAAAAAAAGCCACAGATCTGGTCATTGCTTTGGGAGCTGCATGTAATCCTCTTTGAATTTAACCTTTCCTTTAGCTTTCAAATTGCGGTCTAACAGCGTACTAGTATACTATTAGATACGATTTTATTGTGGAGGTTGATGGTTTTCAGTCATGTCAACTATGGGCTAAACATCTGTGGTGCTGTAGAATGTAACTGAGGGAAATGACATTTGGGGAGCTTACTGTGCATCCAGCAGTATGGCAGGAGTTGCCCTATTACCTTAGTCACAGGATGGCCCTATGGGTTGGGTTTGCTTTTATCTGAGGCCTAACATTTACTCTAATTTTACACAATTCTATTTATTTTCATTCTTTAGCAATAAATTCACTCCAACTAAACTTTTCTTAGAAAGTCACCATTAATACATAAAACTTTTCTTTTTAAAACAGGATAAAAGAATCAGAGTATCTCAACCCTTGACAAGAGGACCAAGTGCCTTTATTCCAGAGAAGGAAGTAAGTTTATCTGTCTTAAAATATATCAAATGTGTTAGAAATAAATCAATTGTATCGAAGAATATCTATATTTTTAATATGGAAGTTAACATGTGTTTTGTTTCTTATTTATAGGTCAGAAAATCACAGAAGTATTTTCTTTTTAACTTCACTTAAAAGTCTATCTATAATCATCTGCCTTATTTAGAGTTAGGTAATACTGCAAGATTAGCAACATAAACTTTAGCATATTTGACTTCAAATATAACTTCTGAGCAAAGCTGCCAACAGTAATAAAATTTAATATTAACCTGAAGGTTTTAGGTTTTAAAATGGTCACTTTTGTGGTGATTATAGGTTATATAAATGTTAAGAAAAGATATTTTGAAATGAAAAAGTAAGTTTCCCAACTAAACCTGTTAAATTTCCCAGTTAAACCTGTTATTAAACAAAACTCGTAGTTACTCTTTTCATTTGGTTCTAAGTCTTGATTGCACAGAATGTTACAGAATCTCCTGTACCTTTGGTGAGGGTGGGGAATCTAGATGGTAAATGTAAGAAAGGCTATAAAATAACACACAGGAGATTGTAATTGGTACGAGATGTGTTCCTGTTACATGAGTGCACATCTCTTTGGAGACCATAGCAACCTGCAGGGCCTCATAGATTCCTAAATGCCTCTCCGATCTACTTGAGCTAAGAAATGCTTAGGTACTGCTAATTGAGTTTTCCCTCTGCTTCAAAGTGTTATTAACGCATATTGAATATGGGTAAATGTAGTGATTCACTATTTATTGCAAAAATATCATTTATCTTAAAGCACCAACTTTATTCCCATATTGTTCTAAAGTTAGTCAACAAATATTTATAGAGCATCTATTATGTGCCAGGCATTGTCTTAAAAGAAAGGGTGAGTGGAATTTGAATAATACATGCCAGGTCATTCATGTCCAGAGTCAGCAGTCACTTTTTAATGACCTTACCATTTAAATGAAAATATTAAATGAAAGTAATAGTAATGTTTTGGGTGCTCAGTGACTCTAGCTAATCTAGGTGACCGTGCATTAGAGAAACTGCTGTATATGTGCCTAATTCCCTTGTATAGTAGAGGAACTGCTCTTAGCAGAGTGATTGTCTCATATATATAAAAGTTCTTGAAACAGTCGTTTTCACAGTATATATTTGAAGATAATCTGGTTTGCAGAAGCCATCACTGTTTTTAGGATCTATTGCACTATATGAATCTATTAATGTTTGTTAGGCATTAATTAAACAGAAGAGACTTCTGGGGAAAAAAAAAGAATCACAGATATTCTTCCCCTAATTATATGTAGTTTATCCGGATCATATTATGTTTTTAACAATCATCTTGGTCCCTGTTGTTGACAAAATGGGGGAAATGGGCCAGTGAAACCATATTTGGCTTTATAATGAGCTAAACTGCTTTTTTTACACCATTGCGATTAACATTCCCTTACGATGTACACTTTCCAAACATTGTATTTTCTTCAGGGTTAAATGTTTCTGTCATTAGTACCTTTTCTATAACTTATAGTTATTTTTCAGAAGAGACTGGGAAGCCAGCCCTGAAGAGTTTACAGAGTTTCTTAATAGCAGTATGGATCTTTGGAAAGTCTGTTAGTCTGGACTTTAGGAGATCTGGATTCTTAGATCAGGCTCTGCTGTTAAAACTGGGTCCATGAACTTAAATTTAATCTTGAATCTATTTCCTATCTAAAATAAAGAATACATTCTTCTTAAGTCTAGAACTCTAATTCTAAAATATCAATAAATAATGAACCAATCCTAGAAATTTGCATCTCATATCTATTAATTCCCACAGGGCTGGGTCCTTCTACAAGGTGCTAATAAACTCTTAACACCTTCTGAGCCAATTCTTGGTGTGATGCCCAAGCTGTCATTGTAGAAAGCTATATATAAATAACCTATTTCTGAGTAAACTCTTTTGATTCCCTAGGATGGGGGATGTCCATTTTAATAACTTAGCTTGTTTTTTAGTAATTAACATGAAAGGCTCAAAATAGGAATGACAGTATTTCAGTGTCCTTATTAATTTTTCAATTAACACTTTCCTACAAATTACCATATTTCCTTTGGTGCCTAAAAAGACTTCAGGAGGCCTTTTTTAATGTTGACTAATAAAAACAAGGAAAGGATCAGATTGAAAATATTTGTCTAACTATAATGTGATTAAGTATCATCATAGGCTATTGAGATAAAATTGGGAACGTATGTAATCAAATGCCACTGCATTTGCCTCAGCACAGATTGGTCTGACAATGGCCGTGCAAGTGGGCCCTGAAAATTTGCCTTATGTTCCTGGCAAAGCAGATGGAAACTTCTTTTCTCCAGTTTCATGGCTGCATGTGCAACATTTGATAATTTAACATTTGTTGTTTAATAAATTGTGGTCTCGGAGCCAAAAATGAGCGGTGCTTTCTTTTTTATTTCTGTTCCTCATATGAGCAACTGCATAATTTCAGTGTCTGTTAATATCAAAAGAACATTCATTTGCTTCAATAGTGGCATAATTTATGTAAACCAAGGATGTGTTTACTTCTCAGTAATTATTTTGTTTTGGGTTTCTTGGTTGTAAGGTTGTCCAAGCAAACACAGGAGATGAACGTACTAACTTTCTTGTGGAAGAATACTCTACATCCGGTCGTCTGGACAACATCACCCAGGTCATGAGTCTGCACACTCAGTACCTGGAGTCTTTCCTGCGGAGCCAGTTCTACATGCTGCGCATGGACGGCCCCCTTCCTCTGCCACACAGGCACTACATCGCAATAATGGTGCGTCTGTGTCCTCGCAACATTGCCCTCCCTTATTGCTTCTCCCTTCTAACGTTATATGTGTAGAGCTAAGTATAATTTTATGGAACTAAGAATTGAAGAAATCTGTGGCCTTTTGGATACTGGAGTCCCTTGGGGATATTTTGAGTGCTTAAACCACTTAATGTACTGAAAGTTTCTCATTTAGTTTTCACAAAAATTATTTTTTATATTTAATCTCTTGTGATTAAAGATGCTTGTAGTGGCCAAAGTAATGTCCCACGAGTTTTGTTTTTGCTCTTGATATCTTGTTTTTATTATTAACATAAAACAGATTGTTCGTCACATTTTATTTAGTCATGTTATACATGTAAATATCACTGTTTTGGCTAAGAGGAAAGTATCAGTCTGCACCAATGGAGACCGGATAAGAGAAGAATTCTTAAATGAATTATAATACTTTTAAGTATAGTACTTCGTACTAGTTAACTAGTTAATGT